GTCTTATTTGTACAAATGGTACTTCGAACTTGGAACGAGCATGAAGAAATTAACGATACTTCTTTATCTTTTGAGTTGTTCTGCCGGATGGGTCGCTCAAGACCTTTGGTCCGGACTCGATGAAAAAAATGGGATCACTTCTTATGGGTTCGTTCAGAATGATTCTGATCTAGTTCATGGCCTATTAGAAGTAGAAGGCGCTCTGGTGGGATCCTCACGGACAGAAAAAGATTGCAGTCAGTTTGATAATGATCGAGTGACATTGCTTCTTCGGTCCGAACCAAGGAATCCCTTCTATATGATGCAAAACGCATCTTGTTCTATCGTTGATCAGAGAGTTCTCTATGAAAAATATGAAAAATACGAATTGTGGTTTGAAGAAGGAGAAGAGGTACTCGACTCGCAACAGATTGAGATAGAGGAGGATGAACAGATAGAGGAGGATGAGGATTTATTCAATAGCTTGTGGGCCCATCAAGGTTAATGTTACACCATTATCTTATCACCTCTATCAAAGAGAACATCACCGCCTATATTGCTACCGCTGCCATAGCGCAACAAGCATGGGAAATGTTAGCAAGGCTCTATGCTAATCATTCTCGCACTTGGGTGATCACCTTGAAGGAACACCTCCAAAACATTGCCATTCTGTTTGTAGCCTATTTACATGGTCTCAAAATTGCTGCTGATAAATTGGGAGCTATTGATCATCCATTCAACAACGATGATCTTACAGTTTATATTCTCAATAGTCTTGGACCTGAGTTTCGGGAGATTACAACTCCTCTTCACGGGACTCCTCTTTTTCCTTTGATGGCTTGCATGACTAATTGGTAGCTCATGAAGAATGTCTCAAACATGAAGAAGCCCATCTTGAGATCACATCGGTGACCACTCACTATGTTGCTGCTTCCTTTAATTCCAATACTGATTCCTTTTCTTCATTAAGTGTAGGCAACTCTTTGACCTCTCTTGGCCGCCACCCTCAATAGGTATTCCATGGAAATTGGAATGGGCAAAACCATTCCAATCGTGGCAATCAAAATCAACGTCATAATTTTAACCCTAGGCCCATAACTCGACCCACCAATTCTGGATGCCAACTTTGTGGCTGTGCAGGCCACTTTGCTAAAAACTGCCCCAACTAAACTATCCCAACTACTTCATGCAAGCTCTTGGGCCCATGGCAAATTTGGCCTCCTTATCTACTGCTTTTTCTAATGACTGCCTCTTGGATTCTGGTGCCAACAACCACGTGACTATTGGCTTGCCTAACTTGGCACTTCATTCTTGAATACAACAATCTTTGTGAAGTCCATGTTGGTGATGGAACATGTTTAAAAATCACACTGTTCTTTCTACCTCTTTTAATTTAATTTTTATCTCTCAATTACATAAACATGTCAATGTTTATATCGAATTTCACACTAATTTCTTTTTGGTGAGGGATTGTTGCATGAATGAGATACTACTCCAAGGGCCAATCATTTACGGCATCTATACGCAACTAGGAGGCAATACTTCTTTAGTGATTTGGCATTTATGATTAAGTTATCCTTTAACAAAGACCTTAAAATAAATTATTAATGTTTTCAATTTGCTTTTATCTAATAAACTATAGTTTTCTAATAAACCACAGTTTTCATTATATGAATCTTGTGAATCTTGTGCTTGCTCCAAAAGCCATAAGCTTCATTTTTCCAATTATTCAATTACAAAGTCTCCACTTGATAATTTTTTTTTTTTTGTGTGGGGCCCTACACCTGTCACCACTTTTGATGGGGTTTAATTATTTTTTTAGTTGTATGGCTTTATCCTATTAAACACAAATCCTTATTTTTCATCTTTTAAAGATCTTGTCGAAAATCAATTTAGGTGCAAAATAAAAAACTTGCATACTAATGAGGGCATATATGTTGCCCTTCATCACTTTCTCTCTACAACATGGATCTCTCATTTTACCACCCCTCTTTATACACCGAAACTCAACGAGTTCAATGAACAACACAACCATCATGTTGTTGAGATTGGTCTTGCACTGCTTAACACTGCCTCCTTCCACTCAAGTTTTGGACTTATGCCTTTGCCTTTCAAATCTCTGTTTACTTACTTAACAGACTCTCGTCCTCAATTTCCTTTGCATTTGCCTAGACATACTACTGTAAAGTGGGGACTGGAAATTTTTTTTTTTGTAAAGATTGACATACCGTAGTGTAGTGCTAATTGTTTCATTCTGTGTACATGAACATTGGTAGCAGCCTCGTGTGAAGAGCTGATTTGTGTATGGTGAAAATTTGGCAATACATGGAATTACAAAAAATTAGAAGTTTTAACAACTAAAATTTTAAGATTTTTATGAAATTATTTAAATATTTTTAATAAATTAATATATAAAAAAGATTTATTAAAAATATTT